GTACCAAGCTATGACACTGTAATGTATGTTGTACCAGTACCAAGCTATGACACTGTAATGTATGTTGTACCAGTACCAAACTATGACACAGTAATGTATGTTGTATAGTTTGGTAACTGGGTGTCATAGTTTGGTACTGGTACAACATACATTACAGTGTCATGTAATGTATGTTGTACCATTACCAAACTATGACACTGTAATGTATGTTGTACCAGTACCAAACTATGTCACTGTAATGTATGTTGTACCAGTACCAAACTATGATACTGTAATGTATGTTGCACCAGTATCAAAGTATGACACTGTAATGTGTTCAGAGCTTTGTTTGTGACCACACTTTATATGGTATTACACACAAACACTGCTGTTTAAACAGTTTTTTTAAATTTTTCAGTGCTCTAATTAATTACTTATGGGTAATTTTTCTTATTTTTCAGGGAGTGGGTTTGTTCATCTTTCATATTATATTGAATGATGAGGTAAGACATAAGTTATATATTAATGCTTAAATTAGTTAATTAACTATAGTAATTTATTAGCTTATCAGTCTATTTAGTAACAGCATAGTATATTCTGTTTTGAACTGCAAGAAACACTTTTTTTAATCTTCATAAGTATTATTTTACTTTTTTCAAATATCTTTCAAGTGACATCAGTAGTTGTAGTTCACTTGTGATTCTAAGAAAGTAGTAGTTTCAAGAACCTATGATGAATATATGAAAAATTTAAGAACTGACAAGTGTTATAATAGAGCACTTTAACTGCCAGCAAACCAAACATCATACTAAGTGTTTTCAGTCACGAATAAATATTGCAGAATGGTCTCCGATCATAATTATAGTATGTTGTTCTGTAAAAGCTATTATTATTTCAGTGTAGGTGTTCCTGTTAAAATATTGTAAGTTAAACAAATTAAATATTAAATAGTAACTTCAAACATTTATACTTGGAATGTACAAGTACTACAAAGGTTGAGTACATTATATTTAAATGATTTTTGTAATCTGAACACATCATTACAAACTATGTTAACATGTTCAGTCTTGCTCTATCTGATAATTGTGCATCTTGTCAATAGCCCTGCAGCAGAGTTTCCATTGCAAAAAGCAGTGTCTTAAGGTTGTCATTTCCAAAGAACACAAATCTTCCTGCATACTTTTCAAAGTTCGTCTTTTGTATGAGGTTGAAAGTCTCTCAGTGCTAGTTTCAACAGTCTGATCACAAAGAAATCCATGAGTACTGTGTCTGGTGACTTGACCAGTCGGTCTTCATTTGAAATAGCTTGGATACTAGCTGATTGATGTATGTGATGATTGAACTCATATTTCATGGAAGAAACTTGTATACACGTGATTTGTATCATTTTCCAGATGGATGTCCTTTCTGATTATATTGCAGTAGACACATAGAGAGCTTTGCCCACTAACGTTTGTGTACAGATTATTACCTATTACAAGATGCTGCACTTTATTTACTATGCCTTGGGAACTTGATGCAGGTATCTTTCTGGCTGGTCCCGGTGCTCCAAGTTGATTCATATTCCTTTGTTTCCAATGCTATTAAGTGCTAAAGGTATCCCATCTCGAAAATTTTAAATCCCTGATATGAACACATCTTTATGATCTGAATATATCAATATTTTGTATCAGAAAGGAGTGGTACATACCCCTTCCAAAAGTGATCAATTTTAGGTGCATCATACTATGTACGAAATATTAAGTAACGTAAAATGTAGTTCTGTTACATGAAGTTTCACTACAACTTTATATTGGCTGTGGTTGTCAGATGACTAGCTAATTTGCCTATTCAAACTCATTTTAATATAAAATAAACAACCCCCCTGCCTTACACCCACCAAATGGCCTTGTCAGATTTTACAAACTAACTCAAGAACATAGTGAATAGCTATTAAAACAAAAATGCATTTTTAATTACCTCCACAACAACAAGAAATAGTCTTTATATCTCAGTGATTTTGCTAATACTTGTCTAATACAGTGGTTCTCAACTGTGGTTCACTGACAATTGGTGGTATGAGAGTCTCCATTCAGGTGATCCTTTGAAAGATTGTATAGTTATGGAAGTAACAGCAGTGTGTGTAGATCATATTGTTACCAGTTGAGAGTAAAAAAACTTCAGGTGGTCCACAAGCAAAAACATTTGAGAACAATTGGTCTATACAACCACGACAGAGCATGTATAGAAAAACTTCCACAACTGTCAAAGTGTATGGAAAAATATTGATGTAAAAGATATCATTTTAAGTTCTGAAATTGTAAGAGAAAAGTTGGGAAACTTCAAAATTGATAAATCTCCTGGATCAGACAACTTTTATCCTAGAGTATTAAAGGAACTTAAAGATTTCATTTGTGAACTGCTAGCTAATATATTTTATAGGTCATTGAGTAGTGGAAGAATATTAGAAGATTGGAAGTCTGCTAACGTTAGTCCAATATTTAAAGGAGGTGATTAACATTGTCTAGGTAATTATAGGCCAGTTAGTCTTACATCAGTAGTTGGAAAGGTTTTGGAGAGTGTGATTAAAGATGCATTGCAGAGTCACTTAAAGCAGTTTGACATAGTGTCAAAGAGCTAGCATGGTTTCACTAAGGAAAGGTCTTGTTTAACAAATCTTCTGACATTCTTTGAGGATATTACTGCAAGAGTTGATGAAGAAAATACTGTGGATTTGGTTTACCTTAACTTTCAGAAAGTGTTTAATAAGGTGCCTCACGAAAGACTTGTTATTAAAGTGGATAGAAAATTGGCTGGAGAGTAGAAAGTAGAGAGTAGTAATAAATGGAGTTAGATCTGACTGGATCACAATTACAAGTGGTTTGCCTCAGGGCTCTGTGCTGTATCCTCTCTGTGATTTATATTAATGATATTGACTCTGGAATAACTAACAAAATTTTGGAGTTTGCAGATGACATTAAGATATTTGGCTAACTGTATCAAAGATGCTGCAGACTTACAGGGAGATTTAGATCATTTGATGCATTGGGCTAATATGTGGCAGATGATGTTTAACTATCAAAAATGTAAGGTGATGCATATAGGTTTTCATAATTCAAATTACTGTTACAATTTAAATGGGAATACATTAAATACTGTGATTGAAGTAAAAGATCTTGGTGTTGTGATTGAAAAATCACTTAAGTCATCTAAACAGTGTATTGTAGCTAGCAATAGGACTAATAGGAGTTTGGGTAGCATCTATAGAAATATTGAATACAAGACAAGGGATATTATTGTTTCACTGTATAGAACACTTGTAACGCCTCATTTAAAGTACTGTGTACAGTTTTGGGCTCCCTTCCTCAATTGTTGGAGAAGGTTCACAGAAGATCCACTAGGATGATACCTGTGTTACGTATCTGCTTGTTTGTTTGTTTCTGGTAGAAATTCCTTCCAAGGATCTTCAGCGATACAAGTCCTTTTTGATTAAACCAGTTTATTCTTCCTCAATACAAACTTTTAGTACACAATAGTTCTACAATCAGTACGTTTCTCATCACTTTAAACTTAACAACTTTTATAATACATGCTATAAATCACAGCGAGTCACAATCTTGATAACTTCGCTCTTGACGAGTGAAAAACACACTTTACAGCTCACTAGCTCAAAACTAACAGAATCATAAATTACACGGAACTCAAAGTAACTACTGCTCTCTCTTCATTAACCCTGCTGGCTTTCACTGCCAGGCTTATATACTAACGAAGAGGGCATCTCGAACACACTCGGACTTCGTTCGAGAAACTCATCAGCGTCACGTGATTTCCACTGTCGTAACACCTGGAATGATGGGATTGTTCTATGAGGAGAGAATAAAATCTCTAAACTTGTTTTCTCTGGAGAGGAGAAGAGTCAGAGGGTATTTGATTGAGGTGTTTAAGATTATTAATGGTATTGAACATATAGATCCATCTAACTTTTTGTGTTTAGCAGTGAGAACAATAGGATAAGGGGTGATAAATTCAACTTTTGGCAGTGTAGGAGTGTCTGCAGTTTAGATAGCATTACTTTTCAAACGGGGTGGTTGGCTTTTGGAAAGAGCTGCCTTCAAGGGTGGTGGAGGCAGAAAATTTAACTGAGTTCAAGAAAAGATTGGTTGAATACATGAGTAGTAAGGGGTGGTTATAGTTGGGAGCTGGAAGGGACATCTTTGATGGGATAACAGGCTCATTTTTGTCCCTTTAAAATTTTATGAAATCTAAGATAGGCTTTAAGGGTGGGTTTAAGTTTGATTTGAGGTTCCATGACAGAAGAAATGAAATAAAAAGGTTCCATGGATTTGTGAAGTTTGTAAACCACTGTCATAGTCAATAGCTTCCATAAGCATAGGTATCTAAAACAACCACTATAGAATATAATGAAAAACTTAGTGAGTAATTTATGAAAACACTGACAGTCTGAGTATTTACAAACATAATATAGTGAATAGTTTCCATATTCACGAAAAAAACTTATGAAGCGTTTGCTACTCACCATAAATTGAATTAATTTTTTTCCAAAGAGCAAAGTAAACAGTTTCTAGAAATTTGAACAAAATATTAAATTATAGTGTAAGAGATACAGTGAAGTGATGAATCTACTTTACTAAGTAATGAGAATGTAGGATTAGATTCTTTTGTTTTTGAGAGAGACAACAAATTAACAGACAGCAGCATATGCCAGGAAAAATGTAATGGGAACTGAATGATGTGTATTCAAGTTTTTAGCAAGGTATCCATTATTTAATATTTTTTATTTATTTTGTTTAAATAATTACATAAATTTCAGTTCCTGGTTTCTATTAAATGTTTTAGTTTTACAATTCATTAATTCAAAGTTCCTTGACTATTATATAAAAAAACAAGATACTTTAGAAAATAACTAATGAATGTTATTTATTTTATAATTAGGAACAACAGAATAATAAATAAACATTTTTAACCTAACTTTGTAAATAATTGTAACTTGTAATAGTGTCACTTACTAAACTCAATTTTATTAAACTTTAGATTTTTCTCCGAAGTGTAACCTAAATTCATGATATTCATTGACTGTTATTGAAATATTTTAAAGGATTTAAAAACTAGATTCAATTGAAGCATTATGTATTTGAATTGTAAACTCACTGATTTTTCTTTTCATAAGGTCAAAGTTGCTCTGCGGTCAAAACTAAACAGCACACCAGGGGAACATCGTATACGTAAAGAAAGTGGTCTTACTATTTGGGTGGAGTTTGTGTCAAAGGTTACTGGATTTTCATCTATCAGAAAGGTATGAGAACTCCGTTTTATATTGTAATATCTTAGATCCTTTATTCATCATTTATTAATGACAGTGTTTAGCATCTCCGTAGATGACAAAAGTAAACACTTGTTTCAGATTTTTTTTGTGTGTTGCAAGTGAGACATTAGACTAATTTAAATTTACTGATGCAGGTAGCAGTATGTTGTTATAATGACACATCATATGGTGCCAGTAAAACACCACAATGATGAAGTAGTTGAACCATAGGAACCAATATAATACTGGTAAAGGCATGTTATTATTGAGTTTCTCATTTCAAGTATATTGACAGTGCCTTATGAGACATTTAAATAGTTTTATCTCATTGATATAACTAGAAATGATCTGGTAACTAGACAACAGAGCAAATAAATCATTCTGATAAAACTAGAGATGAGCTGGTACCCAGAAGACACAAAAGTTAAATCTCACTGATAGAACTAGGGATGAGTTGGTAGCTAGAGAACACAACATGTAAATCTCGCTGATAGAACTAGAGACGAGCTGGTAACTAGATGACACAAGAGGTAAATCTCGCTGATAGAACCAGAGACGATCTGGTAACTAGAAGACACAACAGGTAAATCTTGCTGATAGAACTAGAGACGAACTGGTAACTAGATGACAAGACAAATAAATCTCGCTGATAGAACTAGAGACGAACTGGTAACTAGATGACACAACAGATGAATCTCGCTGACAGAACTAGAGACGAACTGGTAACTAGATGACAAGACAAATAAATCTCGCTGATAGAACTAAAGACGAACTGGTACCTAGAAAACATGACAGATAAATCTCGCTGATAGAACTAGAGACGAACTGGTAACTAGATGACAAGACAGATAAATCTCGCTGATAGAACTAGAGATGAATTGGTAACTAGATGACAAGACAAATAAATCTCGCATACAGAACTAGAGACGAACTGGTAACTAGATGACACAACAGATAAATCTCGCTGATAGAACTAGAGACGAACTGGTAACTAGATGACAAGACAGATAAATCTCGCTGATAGAACTAGAGACGAACTGGTAACTAGATGACAAGACAGATAAATCTCGCTCTTAGAACAAGAGACGAACTGGTAACTAGAGGACACAAGAGGTAAATCTCGCTGATAGAACAAGAGACGAACTGGTAACTAGAGGACACAAGAGGTAAATCTCGCTGATAGAACAAGAGACGAACTGGTAACTAGAGGACACAAGAGGTA